TCCCGCCTCGCGGGGCGGGGGGAGCCCAGGCGGGGGGCCCCGGGGCCGGCCCGGGGAGGGATCCGGCGGGATGCGAGATCCCGGGTGGGAGCCGGTGGGATCTCGGGTGGGCTCCAAGCTGCCAGACGGGATCCGGTGGGTTCCGAGATCCCAGACGGGATCCGGTGGGATGCAGGATCCCGGGCGGGATCCGAGCTGGGATCTGGTGGGGCGCGAGCTTCCCACCGGGATCTGGTGGGATGGGCGGTCGTGGCCGGGATCGGAGCTCCCCAGGCGGGATCTGGCAGGATCTGCAATCCTGGGCGGGAGCCGAGCTCCCCCATGGGACCTGATGGGATGCGAGATCCCAGACGGGATCCGGTGGGATGCAGGATCCCAGGAAGGATCCGAGCTCGGCACGGACCTCTGCAAGCCCGGAGAGCTCGGTGCAAGCCAAGGGCTCATCCAAGCCCGTAGAGACCAGCAAGGGTCCGAGGGGATCTGAGCTCTTCGGTAGGATCCAAGCAGGATCCTAGTTGGATTCGAGGTCCCAGGTAGGATCCAAGCAGGTCCCGAGTGGGATCCGAGCTCCCAGATGGGATTTAATCTTCTAGATAGGACCTGGCAGGATCTGAGCTCCCCAATGGGTTTGAGCTCTGGGATGGGATCTGATGGGATCCGAGCTCCCAGATGGGATCCAAGTGGGATCTGAGCTGCTAGATGGGACCTGAGGGGATCCAAGCTCCCGGGTGGGATCTGAGGTGATCTGAGCTTTCCGGTGGGATCTGATGGGATCTCAACTCCCCTGCAGCATCTGATGGGCTCCAAGCTCCCAGGTGGGATCTGGCAGGATCTGAGCTCCTCAAAGGGATGCAATGGGATGGAAGCTCCCCCATGGGATCTGACGGGATCTGAGCTCCTCAAAGGGTTGCCTTGGATCCTTGGTGGGATCCAAGTCCCCAGGCGGGATCTGATGGGATCCAGTGGGATCTGAGCACCCAGGTGGATCTGGCAGGATCTGAGCTCCTTGGTGGGATGTGAGGGGATGTGGTAGGATCAGAGCTCCCCGGCAGGATCCCACCCATGCACCAGGGGATTGCACGGGCCGGGTCGTGCACCAGGAGGAGACGTTGCACGGGCCGGGTCGTGCACCAGGAGGAGACGTTGCACGGGCCGGGTCGTGCACCAGGAGGAGACGTTGCACGGGCCGGGTCGTGCACCAGGAGGAGACGTTGCACGGGCCGGGTCGTGCACCAGGAGGAGACGTTGCACGGGCCAGAGGGGGGGGGGGTGGCGCGGGCCGGGTCGAGCGCCAGGAGGAGACGTTGCACGGGCCGGGTCGAGCACCAGGAGGAGTCGTTGCACGGGCCGGTTCGTGCACCAGGAGGAGATGTTGCACGGGCCGGATCGAGCACCAGGAGAGGACGTTGCACGGGCCGGTTC